ACCTGACCTGTAGCCAAGCCAGAAGGACCCACTGTTATGTGGGTAGGAGTGGCAGGCTTGTGGCTGCTCCCCTAGAACGTGTCTAAAAGTCTTTCTGTTTCCACACCAAGCCCCCAGTGGTAGGCCACATTTCCACTCTCCCCAATCCTGGACAGGGCCTCACCCCAAACCTGCCATCCCCACCACCCGGGCCTGGTGCTTTCTCAGGAACTTGAGGGGTAGGTGGGAGGGCAGTCCCAGGGCAGGCCTGACCAGGGCTGTGGGAGGTTGTTACTCCTAGGTGTGCTCCAGCCTCAGTATTTACTTGTAGTCTCAGACCTTGTCTTAGAAACTGATTTCCAAGGGGAGTTGGGTCAGAGCAGGATGGTCCCTCTGAGACCACCTGATGGACAGGTGTGGGCCTGGCCTTGCAGAAGCCACACCTCAGCACTGTTTTGAGACTGCCAGGACACACGTGCAGCCAGGTCTGCCCTGCGCTCCCTCTGTACCTGCTGGCCCCAGGAGCAGGCTCAGGGAAGCCCTGGACAGGAGCACAGCACGTGGCCTCAGGCTCCAGACCAGCCAGGCGCTGTGAAATGCTGAGGCAGGCAGGGTGCTTGCCAATATAAATATGTTAGAAAACCTGCCGCCCCAGGGAAGCAGTAGGCCATCTCTCGTGCCTCAGGTATTTGGCTGCACTTGTGGCCGTGGCCCCTCTCACCTGAGGGCAAACAGAGCCCACATTCCAGCAGCCACGCGTGCTTCGAGATGGCAGGCTCTGGTGTGGCTTACTGTGACGTCTCTCCACCTGGCTCTTCCTGTGCAAAGGGAACTCATGCTCAGAGATGGGTGGTAAGGCTTACTCTTCTTTTTCCCTTGGGGCAGGCACTGTCCCAGCCACTTCCTACATGTGCTCTCACTTCACCCCACTAGAGGCCCAGGAGGAAACAAGTCGGTCCATTTTATAGGTGAAGAAACTGAGGCCTAGGGAAATAGAGTGCAGCCAAAAGTCACTTAGCTCCAGAGCCAGGACAAAAAGCCTAAGGCTCACTTCCTACCCCAAGTCCCTGTCTGGTTGCTGGTCCTGCCTGCAGGTACTTCCCCAGCCTGCTCCTGCTGAAGCCAGGCCAGCATGAAGTCCTCAGGAAGGCTGGTATGAGCCTCCCATCTCATTCCTGAGGGGTCTGAGCCCCATGGCCTGGGGAAGAGCAACAGATTCCTGACAAGGGCCAGGAGTTGGGCATGTGGCACTGTCCGAGAGTCAGCAGAAGCCCCAACCTGAACTTCAGCACCCACCAATGCCTGGTTCTGGAGAGCCAGGTGTGCCCCTAAGTGGTAGTGCCCACCTCACTCCCCTGCCCCAATCCGTTCTAGGGCCACATCACCCACTCCTTTCCACACAGCAAACATTATTGAGCCCCATGGGGAAATGGAACAGAAGGTGCTTCTCCCCTCGAAAGCTCATGCCCCAGCAGAAATGGTTCTGCAGTGTCTGTCTAACCTGTGGGCCTTGTTCCCTCTGCTGTCTGCCTGACAAGCTCCTGTTCATCCTTCAAAGCACAGCTCAATAAGGCTAGAAACATCTAAATGCCTATCGGAGGGGGGTGAATAAATTACAGCAGCTCCTCCCTGTGGAAAGGAACTAGGAGGACATTCTTTATATGTTGAGTTAGAAGAATCTCCAAGACATGCTGTCAAGGAAAAATACAGAAAGCAAGAAACAGCGTATGTTCCTATTTGTGTTTAAAAGCGGGGTGGGAAGCAACTAACAGACTACATCAGGAAAAGGCGTAGCAATTTCTCATAAAACTAGACACACACCCTACACCCAGCTATTCTATTCCTGGGTATTGAAACCCAAGATGAAAATGTATGCCTATACAAAGACTTGTACAGAATTTCATAATAGCTGAAAAACAGGGAATAGCCTAGATGACCATCCACCAATGGATACATGTGGTGGATCCACACGGTGGCATTTTACCCAGCAATAAAAAAGAACAAACTACCCATACACACAACATTGACGAAGCTCAAAAGCTAAGTGAAAGAAACAAGTCATGTTGTATGATCTCATTTACATGAAATTCTAAAGCAGGAAAACCTAATCTATGGCAAAAAAAAAAAAAAAAATCTAACAGTGGTTGCCTCTAGTGTGTTAGAGATTGGCACAAGGAACTTTCTGGGCAATAGTAATATCCTTCACTGGAGTTTGGTTTCATTAGTCAGGACTCATGGAATGCTCCACTTAGGATTTGTGCATTTCACTGTATTTTTTACATTTAAAAATAACCATAAGTGGCCAGGCACAGTGGCTCACACCTGTAATGACAGCACTTTGGGAGGCCAAAGCAGGCAGATCACCTGAGGTCAGGAGTTCAAGACCAGCCTGACCAACATGAAGAAACCCCATCTCTACTAAAAATACAAAATTAGCTGGGCATGGTGGCATGTGCCTGTAATCCCAGCTATTTGGGAGGCTGAGACAGGAGAATCACTTGAACCCGGCAGGGGGTGGTTGCAGTGAGCTGAGATTGCGCCACTGCACTCCAGCCTGGGCAACAGAGGGAGACCCCCTCTCAAAAAAAAAAAAAAATTAAAAAACTGTAATCAAGTACTGAACTCTAGGTAAAGATACACGTGCTTGACTACGGAGGTGGTTGTGTCTGCAACTCACTTTGAAATGCACAGAAGACTGACAAGGCAGACTGGCAGGCAGACAGGGATGGGCAGTGCCTAGACAACAGGGATATGGGGGCTCACCTGAAATCCTTTTTTTCATTCCCCCAAAGAAGGTGCACTATTCCTGGAGGTACTGCAATACCAGGTGGATACATGGAGTGGAAGGAGCAAGGTCCTATTCCATCTCCCTGCTCCAAAAATCCATTTAATATACTGTCCTCAGACAGCAGATATTAAACTGATAAGAACACATACTACACTTGATCTTAGCCAAAGGCTGAGAGGCGATCGCTTGTAATTCTTGCAGTTTTCCATGTGACATGTTTCATAATGAGTGTTGAGAAGGTGCTATGAATGTGTGCTGCCCCACGCATGTCCTGGCCATCTCTAGAGGAACACACCGGTGTAAGACAGGCACTTCTGGAGAGGGAACAGGAGGCAGGGGGCAGGTGTGGAGGGAGGTTTTTCACGCTACACGCCTTTGGCAATTTTCCATCAAAAAACTAAGTGTATGTACATTTAATTGAAAGCCCAACTCAGCCTTCCCCCACTGCTCCTTCCCCGCATGCACGTGGGGACACACACGCCTTCCTCCCTGCCTGCCGGGACTTCAACCTCTCCTGCTGGGAAGTCGCACACTTCCGTCGCGACTTCCCAAGTCGTGCTAGGTGTGACTTGGAATCTCGGAACACCTGGGCTAGGCCTGACCACGCCCCCATGGGGGCAGCGCGGCGGGGACGGAGCCTGGGACTGAAACGCCACGGGCGCGGCTCTGTGCGTGTCCACCCACGCGGGGGCGCTGTGTCCTCGCAAGCTCCCGCTGGGCGCCGCGCGGCCCTGGGGAGGCTGTGGTTTTCGAGGGGAAAAGGGAGAGCGGCTGGCACTGCCCCCGCTGCCGCTTGGCCCTGAGACCCCCACCGCCCACGGGATAGGCCCCAGTCCACCCAGCCGGGCCCCCCACCCTTCCCCTTCTCTCGCTCCCCTTGGCAGTTCGGGCTTCGGGTCAGTCCCACACTCGCGCCCAACTGTCCCTGCTGCGCTCCTGTCACTGGCTTTGGGAAGCCCTCCGGCCCCCTCTCTGCACACCTGGCACGCGGCTCCTCCCTAGTGCCATGTAGGTATTTGGGTTGGGCGAGCCTCTCCCTCTCGAGTCCCGAGGGGGTCCCGGCGGCCCAGGGCTCTTCTGGAGGGGCAGTGCCTGAGAGGCGGGTCGCTTCGAGTGGGGATTTGTGCGCTCTGGGGCGGGGGGTGGGTGGGGTGGGGCAGACGGCTCCTGCCCCCGTCACCCAGTGGGGCGCGAGCAGGGCCAACCGTGCACTGAGAGCGCTAAGGGCGTCCCCAACAGCATGACCTGACCCAGGGACGAAGCTCTGGGGGATGGGACCACTTGCGATGTCTGCTAAAGGAGCACAGCGGGGCGGGCCGGCGTGGAGGGGCGGGGATCGGCATTCCTGCGGGTCTGCCCGGAGGGTGGGGAACCTGGGATTTAGCCATGGGACCTGTGGAAGGGTTTTGGTCGGGGTCCTGACAGTCAAGTCTGGGTTCTCAAAGATGGTTGGGACAGTGGGCAGGCTTGTAAAGGCCGAAGAGGCTGGTGGACCTGGTGGCTGAGGCCTAGGCCAGGCAGGGGTTGGGGTAGAGAGGTCACAGCAGGTGTGGTCCCTCCTCCTCCCACCCCTCAGGCCTAAGTAACTCAGGCCTTTGTGTTACGGCTGCACCGGGACCTCCACCCACTACACACGCGCTCACGCAGCCCAGTGAAAACCTGCACCGTGTGCCCCGTGTGCAGACCTGCAGCATGCACCCCGCACCCAGCCGTGTCCCCCGTTCCCTGCACGTGGCTCCAGTGTAAGTGCAGTGTGCTGTGTGCGGCATCCCAGCGCGCACCCCGCACCCCACCGTGTCCCTCTGGGTGCGGGGTCCGCGTGCCCGCGCCCTCCCCGCAGCTGCCGGCGTCCCCATTAATCACGCGGCGCTGACGGCGCAGTGATCTGCGCGCTGGCGGCGTGACGGTGACGGTGACGGCGGGTGACGGAGCGGGCAATCGGCGGGCGCCCATCGGCCCATCTTATCGCACCGGCCCAGCCGCCGCCCGCCGCGCGCCGCCCATTGATCGCGCCGAGCCCCTGCCCGGGGGTCAGTGCGGGCCGGGCCGGCCTGACAGCCGCATCCATCGCCTAGACGCGCGCTGATGGCGGCCCGGCCTGCATGGCCCGGCCATTAATCACCGTGCCTGCCGCCAAGTGACGGGGAGGGGCGGCAGGGCAGCAGGGGCCGACAGGCAGCCCCCGCGGCCGGCCCACCCCTTCCCCATTCTGGGGCCCCACTGCGTGGCCCACCCTGCGCCCTGAGCTCCCCAGTCCCGCTGCCCAGGACTCCCTCACCCCCTATCCTGCTCTCCCCAGAATGGAAGGGGAGTGGCCGCACACTGGAGGAAGCAAGGAAGAGGAACTTCTGTGTGGAGAATGAATGGATGACCATGAATGGAGGGGTGAACACTGTTCTACCTCCCGAGGGACCTCTTTTCCAGACACCAAATGAGAGCAGGTCTGACCTGACAAACACCAGCGCTGGTCGCGGCAAGGGGGTGGTCATTTCGCTCCCTCTGGCTGCCTCAGCCCTAGCTGAGCCTCACCCAGGATGGGATGCCAGGGCCCCGGTGAGAAGCAGTGCGTTGTTTCTGGCAGTTGCCCCGTGCTATCCCCTCCGCTCTTGGGCTGTGTGGCCCTGAGCCAGTGCTGGCCCCTCTGGGCTGCAGGGCTTTTTCCAAACACAGGGGGATCCTAAGGGTCCTTCCAAGTGCCAGCTGTCTGCGAAAGGGAGGGGCAAGCCTAGCAGGCTGCTTGCTCCAGTTTGACAAACTGTGACCTCTTTCCAAGTGGGCCAGGGATCAGGAACTCTTTACTGCGTGTTAGTCTCTTGGGTACCTGATGCAGCCACATGTGGGTCACTTCACCAAGTCCTCACATGGGTCTATGGGATATGAACTTCCCACTCTCACACCAGGAAACCAAAGACTCACGAGGCTAGGACCAAGGGCCACACAGAGGAGGAAAATGCAATCAATCCATGCCCTGCTGAGCCCCAGAACCGCTTGGTCCCCATCCACTGCGCCTCTGCCCACAGCCCTCCCAGAGCAGGGGGGTACCCCAGCTGCTCCGCCCAGGGCTGGCCACAGTTTCTGAGAGAGGTCGACTGGGAGTGCAACCCCACCCCCATTCTGTACCCCCATTTTATTATACAAATGGCTAAGAAAGGTTTGCTAACCAAGAAGTCACTTTCTAGTGTGAGAGCACGATCCATTTAGTCCTAAAAAACAAACTGTCCTACCAATCAATCTGGCAGATGCAACCCTAAGACATGTTGCAGTAAGAAGGTGTCTGCACTGAGAAAATGAGGCAGGGCACAAGGCGGTTTCCCTGCCACGGCCAGGGACGCGTCTTTCAAGAGCCCTTCCCAGTCTCACAAGTATCTCTGGGGCCATTAGCACACGAGACAGGGTGCTGGGATTTATGTGAAAATCCCTCCCTCCCTCTCCTCAGCCACCCAATCGGCTCCCTGGGTGGCACCCAAGAGAGCCTGGGCTGAGAGCCTGGAATATTCAACCACTTCCAATGACCAGCCCCCACCCTGCCTCACTTTAATATTACAACAATTTTTCACACTGGAGCTGAAATAGTGCAAAAAATGGGGCTGCTGTAATTGTTGTTAGATTGTGTGTCAGCCTGATAAGATGTAACAAATATTTTCCTCCCCACCAGGGTCTGTTTCCCTCTTAGTAATGGATGGAGAAACTTCTCATAGTCGGCGAGGGATCAGTCGTAAAAACTTCGCCTAGAAGATTAATGTAATAATCACAGACCTTGCTGGAAAAAATAGGAGGAAAATTAAAATAATCTCACCTTCCTACCTATCCAGAACCATCTCCCTCACTTTGGAGCACAGACCAGCGAATTGGGCCAGCTCTCTGGGCACCACCTCAGCTAGGATACCTGAGGAGCAGGAACCAAAGGTCTGTGGCCTGGGAAGAGCGAGACCACGGTCCCCTCCTCACCTGGCTGCTCTGGATGTTAGTACCTTGGGCAGCCGAAGAAGACTCTGTCCCCACCCGCAGCTGGGAGATCTGCTGTCAGCACCACTTCCATCCTGCTCCTTAAACACCATGAAAGGCTTGGGGCCCAAGTGAGAGGCCCCGCTGGAGCAGAGGCCTGCCTGGTTCTTGTCCTCCACGTGGGTCACCTTCTCCACACTGGACCCCGCTTCCTTCACCTGCCTGGTAGAAAGGTCAGATCTTGACAGCTCCTAGCTGCCACTAAATGCCAACACAGAAAGAGGCAGTATGGCCCCCAGGTGTTAGGAACACAGGTTCCAAACAGCCTGATTTCAAATCCTGGTTCCGTCTCTCACTAGCTGGGCAAAGGACTTGCCTGAACTGCCCCCTCCTCCTCTATGGAAGTGGACTTGGAAGTGGGCTAGCACACCTATCCCAGTCTCACAGGCTACTGTGAAGGCAACATGGAATGCAGAGTGTGAACACAGTCCCTGGTGCAATAAGCTCTTGCTGCATCTCTCTTCTGTTTGTCTAACATGGCTCGAGTGGGGAGGCTAAAGACAAGTGCAGCCTCAGAGGACACTGGCAGCCAGCATGGGCCACATGCACAGCTGACTCCATGAAGGGTCCTACCACCACTGCTGTGCATGCCAGGGTCCTCAGGGGCCAGGCCCAGGGAGAAGATTCACACTGGCAGCAGGGACAGGCTGGCGCCTCTCAGGCTAGGTGGGATCCCCAGCATCATCTCCGCCCCCTCCCACTGTCCCCTTGACATGACTACAGGGGACTGTCCCTAATGGAAGGATAATGCTGCTTGCCCCATAAGGAGCTCATTGTTAGTTTGGACTAAAGCACTGAACCAAGATGACCATCCTGGTCAGCCCTGCCTCCCATATCATAACAGCACAGAGATCCAGTCTGAACTTGCACAAGGGGCAAGTGGTAGGAACAGTGTCCGGGTGCTCAGCCCTACCTCAGGCACCACAGAGCCGGCAGGGAAGGACAGGCGTGGCAAGGGCAAGAACGCAGCGCTCATCCTACTGGGAAGGCACATTCCAGTCAAGTGCACTGCCCAGTGCTGCACTTGCCCTTGCTGCTTACTTAGTGGGTGAACCCAGAGATGCGGCCAGAGAGATGGGGACACATCAGAGGGACACACGAGCCAACTGACAGAGCTCTCACTGGCCAAAGCTGGCTCAATTTGAGCAACAAAATAAATCTACTAAAGTATATGATGAACTTCCATGAGTCCATTCTGATACAATCTTCCATGCAGAATCCCAAATAATTTTGGTAAATACTCAGTTCTCTAGAGATGAGCATAACCGCCACCCTTTAAGTGTGGGCTGCACATAGTGACTTCCTTCCAAAGAAATCAGTATGGAAAGGCAGCACAGAGTAACTTTACAGTGAGAAGACCCCACAAACATGACCTCAGCCATCAAGGGTCAAGGTTACCATCAACGATGAGTCATGTTGTTAGCATGTGACGAGAACCACACATGGTATGATGTGATGAGAACTGCATTTCACCTCTGTATCTTCCTCTCCATAACCCACAATCCCAGTCTACTCACGAGAAAAGCATCAGACAAACCCCAACTGAGGGATGTTCTACAGAATACCTGATCAGTCCTCCTCAAAACTGTCAGGGTCATCAAGAACAAGGAAAATGTAAGAAAATGTCACAGCCAAGAGGCATCTAAGGAGACATGACAACTAGTTGTAATGGGTTATCCTGGATGGGATCTTGAGACAGAAAAAGGACATTAGGTAAAACTGAGAAAATGTGAATGCAGTATAATAATGCATCGGTATTGGTCATTCACCGTGACAAATGTGCTATCTGATGTAACATGTTAACAAGAAGGGAAACTGGGTACAAAATACATGGGAACTCCCTATGGTATGTTCACAATGACTCTACAACTAAAACTGTTCTGCAAAGTTTATTTTTAAAAAACTTAGAATATATATAGAGAGAGATCAAAATAACCTATGAAGATTTATAGAAAACACACCAGGTAAGGAAGGGTTCTTTCAAAGCAACCACAGGAACAGTTATGATAATTTAAAAAGAAATGCTTTCCACACTGAACTGACAGTGCTGTAGACCACGCCCTGAGTGGGGACGGCAGCCCCAAGCCCAGGGGCGAGCGCCCACAGGCCAGACCCAGGCCAGACACACCTGGGGAGTCTCTTGCTGCTGACAACCTCAGCCATCTCACTTCATGTACTTATCCTGCTGATCAGCCAGGATTTTGGCAGAGGACTTGGCATCATAGAAAAGCTCACTGATCTCTTCGACGTGCTCTTTCTCAATGCTGTCCTTCCCGTTGATTTTAGCAAGCAAGTTGGCCGGGGTCAGCAGCTGCACTGAGTACCTAGAGTGGACAGAGGCCAGGGCTGGAGTGAAACTGGGGCCACCGAAGCCCCTTCCCCCAAATCAGCAGGCAGCACTGACACCAGGAGCAGAGCCCAGTGCTAGGCTTGTGCCAGATGATATGAGCACAGAAAAGGGGAGACAAAGTTGTCACTTCTCAGAGAGCTGCAGTCATTACCCCATCAGAGAGGGGCCAGGAGCCACCAAGAAGACATAAGTGCTATTCCCCAAATCTTTAGTACAGTCTACAAATCCTCCAATAGGAAGTAACATCACTGCTACTGGAAAAGGACTGCAAACTTAAATGTATACAGGTGTCCAACAGATAGGGATATTTAACATGGCAGGGAAACAAAAACACAGCCAGCTGGAAGTACACGCCCATCCAAAGGCATGAAGACTCTGCCGTTTTAAAAAGTACCCCTTCATCCAAACCTCATAGCTTGCATTTCTGCCTTCAACCTCAGGAACAAGAACTGACTAAAGGGATGTAGGGAAGGGCTGAGGACTGTGAAGTAATGATTTTACAATGAGTCAGGCCACTGTGAAGGGACATGCTCTGCAGGTCCTGCCTTTGAGTTGCTGGAGAACTGTCTATGTCTGCGCTCCTCCCTGGCTCTCCATACCCACCACCCAGACATTTTTTATTTGCTTGATGGTTAAATAAATCAAAAAAGTTAAAGATTTAGCAGGCCTCATAACATCACTGGGAGAACAGGAGCCAGGGCCCTGGCTAATTAGCTGCCACATGGTCCCTACTCTCTAATTCTATGCATCTTCTCTGCCACAAGAAGGCCCAGGGTCAAAGCACTCTCCACCAGAGGGGAGCATCTGCTGCAGGACACAGGGACTTCACCCTTACTCTAGCTTGTTAAAAACCATCAGATAAATCCTCTGCATTTGAAACTCAAGTGCCCTGGCACCCATCACGCCAGGAAGAGCAGATGGGTACAGTCCTGGCCCTAGGAAGGGATCTGCCTTTGTTGTCCAGAATGACCCCAGTGAGAGCCCTGGCTGTGCTGGGGAGGCCCCGGCGGGCCCAGGGTACTGGCTCACCTCAGTGTCGTCTTGGTGCCAATCTCCCCCAGGTGGTTCAGTGCCTCCTCACTGATGTTGATTCCCTCCGTCTGGGCACGGATTTTAATGATCTTTTAAAGAAGAAAAAACATGATCAACAGTGACTGACCTCAAGTGTCCCATTTCTAAAGTGCTTTAAAGACAGTGTTGCTCAGTATTTCTCACTGTGCAGCAGAAGAGAAATCAAGACCTGGGCTGGTGGGCAGGAAGCAAACGCCTGCCCAACACTGCCGGCCCGGCACCCTCCAGGGGGCATGTGCAGCCCCACAGTATGCATGAATAGCATCACAGCCAGTATGCTGTGTTCAACTGACTCAAGTGTGGCTGGTGCCCCAGGAGGTGTGCAGCTTCCAAGTGGCTCACTCTTGCCTCCATGTCCTTCCCTCCCCTGTCACCAGGCAGAGAACTGGGGCCTCTTCTAACCTACCCTGGGCTCCCACAAGGGCTCTAACCTACCTCTCCAGCATGGGCACTACCACCTGCAAGCACTCAGGCAAGAAGAGACATTTTTTATTTGCTTGATAAATATGATGGTTAAATAAATCAAAAAAGTTACTTTTAAAGATTTACCAGGCCTCATAACATCACCGGGAGGTATCTAATCTATCAAGAAGAGGCTGACGCTTGTTGCAGTTTGAAGATCTTGGTAGAGTTGGAGGGGACGCAGGCTGGTGGCGGGGATGCTGTAACACGGTGGACCAGGATCCTGCAGGCGTACCAGCACTGAGTGATAAGGGGCAGCCGGGATAATGATGTTGTGTGTTGTGGAGCTGAGATAACTGCAGGACTTCGAGCCGCATATAATACAGGAATTTTTCACTTTGGCAGCTTCGTAAACAAGATATCAAGAAGCCCTTGTTGAAATTAAAGCCATAAAAGCACACCCAGTGTAGAGGCACAGGAGCTGGGAAAGACTGAGTCCCAGCTTCAGCCTTCCAGGAGGGAGGAGAGCCAGAGCTTTACTGAGGTGGCCACATCAAGCCTCGCTTGTCAGCTCTCCAGGCTGGGACCCTGCGGGCAGGAGCTGCAGGGGTGGGGAGCCCAGTCTCTGATGATCCTGGCTGGGCTGGGGGGACAGCACGTCGGCTGCCCATAGATGGGAAAGGCCTTGGAAAGCACCAGCAGGCCAGAGCGGCTGCAATGAGCCGGGTGAGGGTGAAGTGCTTGGCCAGCAAACACTCTGGGGAGGCAGCCCCTCCACCCACAGCCACCACTGCTACAAGGTGCTGTCTGAAGTCTTCCCTTTTGTCAAGATGGGCTCAGAACTCAGATCTTTGTACAAAATGTGCTGATTTTGGGCAGACGCAGTGGCTCACGCCTGTAATCCCAGCACTTTGGGAGGCCGAGGCAGGTGGATCACCTGAGGTCAGGAGTTTAAGACCAGCCTAACCAATATGGCAAAACCCCATCTCTACTAAAAAGACAAAAATTAGTTGGGTGTGGTGGCACATGCCTGTAATCCCAGCTACTTGGGACGCTGAGACAGAATTGCTTGAACCCGGGAGGTGGAGGTTGCAGTGAGCTGAGATTGTGCCATGGCACTCCAGTCCGGGCAACAAGAAAGAAACTCCGTCTCCAAAAAAAAAAAAAAGGTCCTGATTTCTAGATGTCAGCAACTTGTTCAAATATTTCACAAACACTGCATAGGCCACATGAAACTTATCTGCTGGGCTCATGGGTGAACTGCCAGGGTGTGAGCTCCACTGAAACAATTCTTAGCTTGTGCAGGAGGAGTTCCACTGTTTGAGATTCAAAGCTAAATGCAGCTGGGCAGAGAGGGGCCCTCTGAAGTTACTGGATGGTACAAGCACAATCAAGAAAAGGAAATGGGGGTGACTCCCTGCTCCATCAACAAAACTCCCCTCTGAACACAGCTTCAAGGTAAAAAAGGCTTCTTACTCACAGCTGGGACTGAGGAAACTGCCAGGTCCTGCCAAGAAAAATGTCCCCAGAGGACCTTCTGAAACTCCAGGGAGATGCAAATATTGAATCCTGGAGCCTGGTCACAGGAGACAGCTTCAGCCTAAGCATCTCCCCTTCAGTGAGCTGCACTGAATCTGCGGTTCAGCTTCCAGAATGTCAGGGACACTCTGCTCGCTCTCTCACTAGAGCAGGTCAAAGCAATCGTGAGAGCGTCCGTCTCAAGCTGCTCGAAAACGGACAGTTCATAAATGAGATCTTTAATCATTTAATAACCTGCAGGGATAGTTTATGAGGGTGTCGGCTTGGATTGCAGAGTACACAAGTTACATCGAGTTTGTTTAAAAACCTAGCCCAGGCTCCAGTAAAAATGCTGAGGTTATTGCCTGGGCCAGTGGGAACAAAGCCACGAGTCCTGACAGAAAGCCTGAGGAGAGGCCCTCCTGACTAAGCCAAGATAGCCCTAGCCCAGAGCTGGCCTGGCAAGTCACTGTTCTAGAAGCACAGTGCAGAACATTCCAGACTGCTTGGGCCAGGAGCTCTGGGTTCAAATGGCAGCAGCAAGGGTGAATTAGCTCTGAGTGGTAGTCCTGACTCTGCTGCTTACTCTCCACATGGCCACAGGACCCTCATTCTTGGAGCCTCCAACATTGGCTATTGCGAAGCTGTTGTATGTTGTACGTAGAGGACCCTAGAGGGTACCTATGAAGCACACAAAGCTATGAATACAGTAATAACAACAGCAATGGGAAGGATGGGAGGGCCCGTTACTGCCAATACCTCACGAATTCTAATGACAATCTTGCAAAGCAGGGAGCAGATCTTCCACTTGACAGAGAAGGTAGAGGCTCAGTGAGATGCACCAAATTGCTCAAGTCATTCAGTAGGCAAATGATGGCCTCAAAATACTCCTGGTGTCTCTGGTCCTGACCACATCTGTGCTGGGCTGCCTTTTTTGGCAGGACACACGGGGTTTTAGACCCAAAAGTAAGGTGCTATGTCCTGCAGTAAGAATGGGCCAAGAATTGCCTAGGACTCTGTTTCTGCTTCTGCTTCTGTTCAGTGAATGCCTTGGCTTCAACCTGGCAGTCACCCAAGAGCAAGACACTCTTACTTGGCAATGAGGCCCCCGGTCATTGACATCATCTCCTAAATAACATATACAATTGCTACTATGAACCATAACTGCTTCAGTAATTTGCCAGTGCTGATTACGAAGGGAGATCCGTGACTCTCCTGATGCATCCCTACAGCACTCCTGCATGTGGTCAATAAGAGATGCCAGCAGGTCCACGCTGGACCTCCAGCCATGGGAGAGTAGCTGAAGTGCTGGGAAAGACCCACCCCAAGGAGAGGCCCTGACTGCTCCAAAGGAAAGATCCTGCTCACAAACTGCCAGAGGAAAGCCACCTCACGAATCCTGATGACAATGAGATGAGAGATTTCTAGCAGCAGGGAAGTTGAGTGGCACAGTGATTAAGAACACAGGTTTCTGGATCAGAAAGCCTGAATTACAGCCAGTCCTGTTACCTGCTAGCCACTGACTAATGTTATGAACTTGGGCAAATTAGTTACCCTAGGTCTCAGTGTCCTCATCTGTCTTTTTTTGAGACAGGGTCTCACTCTGTTGGAATACAGTGGCACCATCACAGCTCACTGCAGCCTCGACCTCCTGGGCTAAAGCGATCCTCTCACCTC